GGGGTGGTGGGGGTGCTTCCTCTGGTACCTCCCGTCCCCCACCCAGGCCTTCCTCTCATTGCGACACCCCTGCCTGTCTCCTTCCTGCAGCGAGGGGCACCCCCTTCCCTAATCCTGCGGCCGGGTGGGGTGTCTTGCTGCTCCCCTGGCTCCCAAGATCCGAAAGCAGCCTCCTACGCGCTCGCCCTGCTCCGAACGCGGGTCTTGTAAGCGCGCCGGCCGCGGGGGCGCGGGGGCGCGCGGGCTGCCCCCTGGGCACCTGCTTTCCGCGCACCGCCCTCCTCCGCCTCGGGCTCCCTTTCAGGACCCACCCCTGGGAGTCCCTGAGTCTCCCCTCTCCTCTGTCCTCCAGGACTTCTGCCTCTCTCTTCCTCTTCCCTTTTTTTTCAAGTTAAGTGTTGGGCAGAAAAGGGACTGCTTGCTTGCGGTAGGTGGAATAATATTTATGGAGTGCTTACCAGGTGTCAAAAGCTGAGCTAGGCATCTGGCATATGCTTTATTGTAAGGACTGAACAGTGGCAGGCACATAGGCAGTGCCCGGGTATTATCCCGATCCTCATTGTCACTTGTATTTAAACTTCTGTGCGGTAGATATTATTTCACATTCCAGGTGAAGATGCCAAGGTGTAGTTTCGGAGTGGCGTGCCAACCCCCAGAAGGTGGAGTTGGGCTCCTAGACCCTTGCTCACTCAATGACAGATGTCCTCAGAGCCCCTTCCTGCTGTGGACTGGGTGGGGGATCTAGGACACAGACCCTCCTGCTTCAGAGGGGCTTACAGTCTGGTGAGGCTGCCCCCCTCCGGACCCATGTTTCTCTGGGTCTCCCTTTTAGAGCTGGGCAGCCCCCCGCCCCCAGTTTGAATTTTGTTTGCCTGACCCCTGGGACTGTGACCAGCTAGCTATGTCTCCTCTGCTGAGCTAGGCCCTTTCTGAGTTAATCAGTGTCCTAAGGGATGGCACAGGGATGCCCTGGGCAGGGGTGAGTTTCAACACTGCTGTGTGTCCTCTGTGCGTGGGAATGGGATAGGGAAGGGCATGGGAGAGAAGGGCTCCTCTCCCAAGCCAAGGTTGGGGCCACACTTGCCACACCCTGTCCCTGCACTCTGAGACCACCCCTCTCAGACTCCAGATGGAAATCCCATAGATTTACTTGTTTACTCAGTACCTACCATGTGCAGGTGCTGCGCTAAACACTGGAGGGAGGGTTACCCAGGCGATTTACACGTGGATGGAGCCTTCGAAGAGTTTTCATTTTAATGGGGGAGAAAGACTTAGATGTAAAAAAAACCCCTCTGATATCTAGTAGAAAGCAATCCATATTCTTTTTTTTAAAAAGCCCATTATAACAATAATATTTATCAAGTAGTCAAATACAATAAGCCTGGCACTGTGTTGATAAGCACTGTTTTATCCCCATTTTACAGATGGCGAACTTATCTGCCTGTTAAGGCAGATGCAGGACTAAAATTGCATTCAGTCTGACTCCAGATTCATGCTCTTAATTACAAAGTCTCCTGGGTGGAGAAAAAGCATTCTGCAACCAGAGAGAAAGCATTTTGCAACCTGGCCTGCTGACTCAGGTTACCTCTTCCCATACAGCAGTTGGCCTGATGCCTTAGACAGGGTTTTTCAACCTTGGCACTATGAACATTTCTAGCTGGACGATAATCCTTATTGTAGGGACTTTCCTGTGCATTGTAGGATGTTTAACAGCATTCTTGGCCTTTACCCACCAGATGCCATTAGCATCCCACAGTTGTGATGTTGCCAGATGTCACCTGGGGGGCAAAATCACTCCTAGTTGAGTGTCATAGCTCTAAGACAGCAGCTTTAATGTTTAGTCACTTGTTCATTTATTTGATAAATCTTTAGGACACACCTGTGGCATGTCATGTCTACATTTATGGTGAGACAGTTTTAGGACAGTTTTAATGATCTCACTTTGCTATATGAAGAACTTTAGTGCCAAGAAAAACCACCTCTTTTGAGGAACTGCTATGGGTAATGTTTTGCAGTGTTTCCCTTTTTGCCTGGAGTGCCAGGAATCTCAACCAATTTTTAAAAATACTTTTGATTGTGTTTTCTTTTTAATTAGTATGTGTCCATAGTAAGAAGTACAGCTAAAACTTAGCTAAGGCACACCCCAGTCGTGTGCATTTGTTTACTCATTGTGACGGGTGAATGCATGCATTTACTAGACCTATTCAGTATAAATTTAAAATTACCATAATACATATAGAAAACTTTTCTGTGAAATTAAACTTTTCATACATACTTAATTCTAATTACACAAATTATGCATCTATATTAATAAAAACAGTTAAACTAATTTGTCAATTTTTTAACATATGCATTGAGAAAACCTACTTTATTATATAACAGACTTTCTGCTTTAACGGACACCCCCTCGACTGAATTAGTCTGTTATAACGAGATCTTACTGTAATAACACATTTATAGGGTGGATTCAATGAGATAATCACTTAGCATAGTGCCAGGCATGTTGTAAGCGCTTAATAAATGTTCCTTGATGTCTTCTGGGGCAATAAAATGGAAACATTTTCCCCTGGGCTGGATGCCCCTTCCTTCTGGACCTGCCTGGGCCCCACACTACTCTGTTAACCTCCACTGCTGGCTGCTTATCTCTGTGATAAGGAGAATTAACCTAATCAAGTCTCAGATAACCTGGGTGCTGAGTGAAGGAAGGGTAATTTCCTCTCCACTCTTCTTGGCCTTGGCCGTCCCTGACCTCAGTCAGCCACTGGGGAGCCCAAGGGACCTGTGTCCAGTCTCAGGTGTTAACCTGAGTGTGCTGGCCTGGGAGTCAAGTTCTGGGGGCCTGGGGTCAGCTCTGACATCGCATGCATGTTGTTTTCAAAGGGTATTTCTCAAATGCTTACCCTGGACCAGTCAGTACGTCCAGGGGTGAATGGAATGGACATAGGCCGGCCAAGTGGAGCTTATGGCCCGGTGGCAGCTTCACAATGAGGGTTGTCACCGGTGCTGTGAGAAAAGTGCGGGGCTAAAGGGGATCTGAGAGGGGCCTGCCCAGGTGGTGGGAGGCCAGCCACATAAAGAGTACCCCACACAAAAGGGGCCGCAAAAATGACCAAAGTGACTAGATCGCAGCAAACAGGGTGGGAGGCACTGGGGCCGGGGCGATGGGAAATGGGTGTCTGGCCTCAGTAGTGTTGTAGGTGACCAGAGCCGCACCGGGAGTCAGGCTGGACCTGGGTTCAGCAACCTCAATACTGAGTTCTGGCTTAGAAAGAATTCAGAGCCAAGACTCCAACTCGCTAGGGAAGATTAATCAATAAAGCAAAGAAAAAGTACCCTCGAAGAGAAATTTCCAGCGGTGGCTCAAAGAGCTGCCCTGGGGAGTGGGCTAGGGCTCCTTTTAACTCCTGGGAGGGGAGTTAACTGCTCTCTTCTTTAAGCTGACCCATCAGGGCCTGTCTAGTCATCTTCTGTCTTTGTATGGCAGTAGATGGGGCTTTCCTCCAGCCCCCTTGCTCTCCTCCAAGGGCAGGGGTCTGCCCCATGACTGACCACGTGCCAGGGGAGAGAAGATCAGGAGAACCTGACCTGCATGACCAGAGGCATTCTAGGGTGGAGAGAGGGTCTCCAGGGCGAGGTCTCAAATCTTTCCAGTATCTGCTCTTCCAGTTCTTCTTCATTGCTGGGTGTCCAGGACATTCCTCCCTGGTGACCTGTAACTGGCTCATAGTCCTTCCTCTGCTCATGTCTGTCTAACTGCCTACCATGTAAGGAGTCTGCCTTTTTATTGCAGAAGAAGTGAGAGGCCACTGAGTAGTTTTGAGCCAAGTGCTTTATGTCTGCTGTGTCTGATGATTAAATTTTCATATTAAAACTATAACTTTGGCTGCAATTTGGAGAGTAGCTTGGTGACAGTGGACCAGGAGTGGCCATTGCAGTTGTCCAGGCAAAAGCTGGTGGTGCCATGGACTAGGGAGTAGGCCTCAGGTAACCTGCACCCTGGGAGGGGAGCGGAGCCCCCCACCCCTACCCTGCTTCCCCTCAGCGTTCCCCTCTGTACATTTCTGAGGTTTCATTGGCTGGCCCACAGCTCTATGCAGCCCTGCTGTCACCCCTTGCAGATGTTTTGATGGGGCTTTTTTAGCTCCGATCCTGGTACCTGTACAGGGTGGGGAGGGGCAGCTAAAATCTCACACCCAGGCCGTGAGGTCCTCAGTGATCTCTTCAGATCTCCATAGTAACCTCATGAGATGGGTATCACTCCTAGTCAGTGACTTGCCCAAGGTCACACAGCTACTGGACTGCTGAGCTTCCTGTGGTCAGGGGGAGGGTGGGGCCTGGGGAATGTGACTGGCTTTCTTGGGCCTGATGGCTGTGGCCTGGGGGTGAGGTAGGGGGAGAGAGGGAGAAGATCCAAGGGCGACCTTGCCCTTGGGCATCTCGGGAGACTTGGCCCTGCCCCTCCACTGCACAGGCCCCTTTCTGCTGTCCCCTGGGCCTGACCACTTCCCCCAGCTCTTCTTAAACCTCCTCTAGGTCTCTGCTGAGCTCGCCCCTCCCTGACCACTCTGGCTAAAGTGGCTCCACCCTTCCCTTACTTATTCATTTTTGGGTCCCTCTGTCCTTACTGTGTTTATTTCTTGCCCGTGTCCCCCAGTAGAGGTCAGCTGCGTGCAGCCAGAGGCCTCGCTCTCTTGGTCACCACTGTGTCTTCAATGCCCAGGCAGTGTCAGAGATGTGGCAGATGTTCAGTAACCTTGTAGGGTAAACGTGGGACCTGCCCTCACGGCCCCTTTTTCGTGTCCTTCCTCCAGGCCTCCCAGGCCAGCCCTTTGAGCCCCCACACCTCTTCCCAGTGAGAAAGCAAGAAGTCCCCCGACCCTCCCAGCCAGGCCGTTTTGCCCTCCTTTGGGCATTAGCTGCCTTCCAGGACATAGGCCTCAGACAAGGTCACTCTGAGGCAGTGATGAAGTGAGGTGCCGCAAGGCTGTCATAGTTTGTTTGAGCACAGATGAAAACAAGGTCACTGTGCCACCCCCAAAATACCAGACACTCCCCCTCTTGCTAAAGGAGGGGCTGTGGCCCCCAGCTGTGCACTTTCCCTCCTGCGTGGAACAGTAACCCCACTTGTCCACCTGCAGGTGCGTTCCGACTGGTCTCTGGCCGGGGGCGATGACACCAGAGGGAGATGGTATCTGGGTTTTTCTGATCCAAATCCAGGTCTCTCCTGATCTTGGTCTTGAATTAGATATTTTCCTTTTAGGACCTAAGTTATCTTATTTCTAGAATGGGGCCACTGGTGAGGCCCATCCGATTGGCCTATACATGATGGACGGGAGGCGTTATCGAGTCTAACGAGCCTCCCCTGGCCGGTGTGGTTCAGTTGGTTGGGTGTCATCCCGTGCACCCGAAAGGCTGCCAGTTCGATTCCCAGCCAGGGGTGTGCAGGAAGCAGCTGATTGATGCTTTGCTCTCACATTGATGTTTCTCTCTCTCTCTCTCCTTTCCCCTGTCTCTAAAAATCAATAAAGTATTCTTTGGGGGAAAAAAAAATCTAACAAGCCTTGTGCATTAGGTGCCTTGTCATTAATGCTCCCTTTTACAGGTGACTGACCCTAAAGTCTTACCCATGTGCCCCCCACCTTCTGACCCCCAGGCGCGTTAGGGGTGGTGGTCATAGTGGTTATTAACCAATGAGGTCACAGGTTCCAGACTGAACAGAGGCTCCAGAACAAGGAGTTCTTGAAACTTGGTGCCCAGGAGCCAGACTCTGAACCCCCAAGCCCCCCCTTCCTGTCTCTGTGAACTAAGCTCAGGGCAGTCCTCTAAGTTCACGGGCCACCTCTTGGACTTTCTTGCTCTCCCTCAGTTCAGCTCCGAGTGCTGGGCCTCTCAGCTGGTTCACATTCTGATGAGACCCAGCTCTGGGATATCCTGCCTTTTCAGCTAAGAGAAAGAAGTGACTGGGTCTGCTCTGGGATAAAGTTTGCATTGTGGGGAAACCCTGTCCTTGTACAAACACTTAGAAATGCGTTTGCCTCTGTGGATTTAAGCTGCAAACAACCGTGGGAGTTTGTATGATTACTTTCGCTTCCTGGGTGTAGAAACAGGTTCAGAGGAGGCAGCTCACACACTCAAGGACACACAATCTCAGGTGTGGGACCTGAACTCGAATTTTGCACCCCAAGGCCTGTCTTGTTCCCCCCTCGCCAGTTCTATAGTTGCTCTGGATTTCAGGATTCTGGGCCAACCCAGGATCCCCTGTTGGAGACAGAGGGGCTGGGTCTGTGGTGGTCACTGCTGACCTGTCTGCCTCCCTCCCCCCCCCTTGCATCCAGGCTTCGGTGGAAACACATCTCCTCCCTGAAGGTGGCCAATGAGCCCATCTTGGCATTCACGAAGGGCAGCCCCGAGCGAGATGCACTGCAGAAGGTAAGGGGGGCGCCAGTGCAGGGCATGGAGCAGACACAGCCTTCAGCAGCCCCAGGGTGCTTCTCGGTGCCACAGCGATTACCCCTCCTGCCCCTGCTCTCAGCCCTGGAAGGAAACCTGGGGTCAGGGGCGGGCTGTGTGTCGGGAGCATAGGAGAGGCTGGGGCCATTTGGGGGCCTCAGTGCTGGTCAGGGGTCATATGCTCACAGATGTTTTTCAGAATGGTCTTCCATTAATTGCCATTATTTTAAAAATTGTGAGGTTCCACGTAAATTTCAGGTGCAGTTTTTTATTTTATTTTATTTTTTTATATCTTTATTGATTTCAGAGAGAAGAAGGGAGAGGGAGAGAGAGAGATAGAAACATCAGTGATGAGAGTCATTGATCAGCTGCCTCCTGCACGCCCCCCACTGGGGATCGAGCCCACAACCCGGGCATGTGCCCTGACTGGGAATCGAACCCCGATCTCCTGCATCCAGGTCGATGCTCAACCGCTGAGCCATGCCTGGCCCGGGAGCTACAGTTTTTTAAATCATTTTTTGTAATGGGAAAACCTGATGATGCTGGCCTCTCCTTCCTGTGTGACAGGGAGTGACAGTGGAGGGGCCGAGTCCTGCTGTCCCCCGAGGAGAGCACACGTTTTCCAGCCGCAGACCTGGCCCGGCCGCCGTCTCAGTTCCTTTCCTCCCGGGCCTCTGCATTTGCAGACTCTCCATCGGGTCTTAGGTGGGAGAAGAGGGGAAGGAAGTGCCCATCTAGCATTTTGTCCTCTCCTCAGGCCTTGAAGGACCTGAAGGGCAAGACAGAAGCCATCCCGTGTGTGGTGGGTGACGAGGAGGTGTGGACCTCAGATGTGCGGTACCAGGTGTCGGTAAGCCTCTCCCCGAAACTGGGGTCTCTCGAGCAGCACGACAGCATGTGACCTGGGTCTCTGCCTCCAAGGGGGTTTTAGTCCATGCCCAGATTTGGGTAGACTTGGAGAGGGGGAGTCAGTTTACATGGGCCCCACGGCTAGCGGGTGGCAGACAGAGATTCGAACCTGTGTCTGACCATAAAGTCCACGCTTTCCCTGAAACACTGTGGTCCATGCCTTTTTCCTGGACCGGGAACCGTGTCTTACTCATGGAAAAGCGGGTGCCCCACAACCCTCAAGGGGCAGAGATCGGCGTGGGCTGGGCTACTGGAGGCTTCATGGGGATTGGAGGGGAGAGAGCTGAGGGCTCTTCCCTGGAAAGCCAGCTCTGAGCCCTGCCTCTCCCCCTCCACGTCCCCCACCCCGACCCTGGCACTTCCCTCGCTCTTTCTTCTTTCAGCCCTTTAACCATGGACACAAGGTGGCCAAGTTCTGCTATGCAGACAAGGTGAGTCCCTGGTGACTTTGGGGTTTGGGGTGCTGCCCCTGTTTTGTCCTGCTGGCTGCGGACATAGAGGTGGACATCAGACACTGCTTCCCTCTGGCCATGGGGGTGAGAGTGTAGTTGGGGCAGTCAGGACCGAGGGAGTCCCTGAGCGGGTGTCTCTTACAGGTCCAGGCATGCAGGGGTTAACTTGAGCCAAGTGGGAGCTGCCTTGGTCAGGGCTGGGACATCCTCCCACCTGCTATCGCTGTCTCCACGAGGCAAACCCTGACATGGTAGAGTTGAGGGGAGCCGTAGATTCTGGGGAGGCTGAGTCAGGGAAATTGGAGACATCGTGGATGGAAAGCCAGAAGGAATTAGTATCACAGAGGGCCACCGAGAGGGGATGGGGTGACCTGTGGTAGGGGTCTAGGGTCTGGCGTCCTGTGGCAGTGAGAGCAGCTGAGGTGCCAGCAGCAGGTGTGTGTCTCAGGTGGTTCTGGCCTGGCAAAGGTAAGACCAGGGCCCTGACCTCGAGGGCTGATGGCCCTGGATGGTAGATTCAGGGGCCCCAGGCCCTAGGATTAAGGTGACACCCTATGAGACCACAGGAGAAAGAGGACCAGGTTTAACAGCTGCGGGACTCAGTGCCAAGTGCCTGGCATGCTGACCCAGCTGGCAGGTCAGCCTTCTCCAGACTGGCAGTAGAACAGGTTCCAAGCCTGGGGTGGCCCTGCCAGCAATGGGACTTAGGGTCAGCAGCTGTGGGGAGGGGAGCCGGTGTCCTCCCCGGGTGGAGTGTGACCTCTAGATCTCTCCTCCCTCGCTCATTCCCTTGGGACCCATCGTGCTACAGGAAGAAACCCCCAACCTTGCCCTCTTCGCTAGGCCCTGCTCAACAAAGCCATTGAGGCCGCCTTGGCTGCCAGGAAAGAATGGGACCTGAAGCCTGTCGCAGACCGGGCCCAGATCTTCCTGAAGGCAGCAGATATGCTGAGCGGGCCACGCAGGGCAGAGATCCTTGCCAAGACCATGGTGGGACAGGTGAGGTGCCTGTGGGCACAGTTGGGGTGGGAGGCAGTTGTACCCCATCCAGCTCGGCAGGCATCAGCTGAGCAGCTTCTGGGTACTGAGACCTGCTCTGCTGGCTGGAGACTCAGAGGTGTCCTCGAGGGACAGGCCTAGGAGAGTGGGCAGACACCCAAAACATTAGACAAGGGGGACTGCTAAGCCTATGTGTCTGACCACGGAAATGTCGCTTCCCTTCCTTCTCTGTCCCCACTCCAGGCAAGGCCTTTGTCATGCTTTGCCTGGACTGACAGTTGCCCTGTGCAGTCCTCAGGTGTTCTCGATACCTCTAGCAGGTGCTCCAGGCTTACAAACCACTAAGATCTATCACTGAGAGTCACATCCCAGATCCTGAGCCCAGGGCCCTACAATTCCCCCCTCTTTCCAGCTCGCCACCTTCTCTGCCCTTCCCACCAGGCCTTCTTACCTGTGGTGAGGCCAGTGTGGACCTAGTGACATTCCTGGACTCCACGGGCGTCCCACATCCCTGCCTCTGCCTGGTGTCTACTGCCTGGGATGCTCACTCTCTTCTCTGCCCCGTGAACTCTTACCTGTCAACAGCCAGCCGAGATAGCACCTCCTCTGTGAGCCTTCCAGAAACCTTCTCTGTCCAGAAGGATCAGTCCCACCCCATAGCATGCTGTTCATTTGTCACAGCTCAGATCGCACGGGGGTGTAATGTCTTCCTATGTTTCTGTTACCCCTTTATAAGCAAGCTTTTAGGGAACAGTAATCATGCGTTAATGTTCTCCATCTTTCTGGGTCTTCCTGGAGTCATAGAAACTCCTGGAGAAACTTTTTTTGAGTGAGTGCATTTGAGCCAGAGAGTGGCAATAGCAGCCCAGAGCTCTGGGAAAGGAGCGGAGCGGGGAGAGTTCATGTCCTCAGGGAGCATTGGGAGGTTTGGGTGAGAGCTCCCCCTGCTGCACAGAGGTGGTACGACAGTCACGCCCTGCCAAGTGTGTCCCGCTTTTCTCTGCAGCCCCTGGGGTGGGTGTCAGGCTCTAGAATGTCCCAGGTGAGCCGCACTTGCGCAGGAAGAGACACACACACTTCCAAGCCCAGATTAAAGTGCCTCTTTATTTGAGTGAAGGCTCAGGAGCTTGTGGGAAACGCAGTGGCCGTGCAGAGCAGGGAGCAGTGCATCTTAGCTCCGCTTCCTTCACCCCGTGTCCTGGGCAGGGCGAGCAGCTGCCAGTGTGCCAAGGAGGGTTGCCCGGACCCAGGAAAGGCCCATTCTTGCTGCCCAGAGTCCTTTCCCCATGGCTCACATTCACCATCGGAAAGAACAGACAGTCTAAGGAAACGCTTACAGTCTCAAGGCCTCCTGGTTCCTGGCCCAACACACCTGGCGAGGGCACGTATCCACTCCGGGGCAGTTGCCGCCAGCATCCTGCTCATGCGTCACTGTGGGTTCAGGGTCCCGTGTCTGCCACTGCTGACCCCCTGGCCTTCCTGCCTCGCAGGGTAAGACAGTGATCCAAGCCGAGATCGATGCCGCGGCCGAGCTGATCGACTTCTTCCGATTCAACGCGAAGTTTGCCGTGGAGCTGGAGGGAGAGCAGCCCATCAGCGTGCCGCCCAGCACCAACACTGTGGTGTATCGGGGGCTGGAGGTAGCCACCTGGAGGTGCAGGGTGGGACGGGCTGCTGGAAGCCTTGAGCTTGGCCTCACCACCTCCTCTGTCTCCAGGGCTTCGTGGCAGCCATCTCCCCCTTTAACTTCACTGCGATCGGCGGCAACCTGGCGGGGGCACCAGCCTTGATGGTGAGATGTGGCCAGCGGGAAGGGATGGTGGGAGCTCAGCATCATTCCCGTCTCAACAGACAAAAGGCCACATTTGAGCCCCTGAGGTCCCAGCCCTAGTCCTGGGGAGAAGCACAGGGGCCGAGACAGCGTGGGGCGTGGAAAGGCTTCAGGGTCAGAGGCTGGTTTGGGTTCCAGCTTTGCCTTGCTCTAGGTGACCCCAGTTAAGCCCCCACACTGCTCTGAGGCAGTTTCCTTATCTGCAAAGTGGAAATAATAGGAAAGCCTGCAGTGCAGGGTTGTGAGGAGCAGATGAGACCGGGCATGTGACGTGGCAAACGCCAGGCAGGTCTGGCCATGTGCAGGCTAGTGTGTGGTGGTTGTTAGGGATGGTGATAATTGTAGCTCACCTTAGAATGCTTGCTATGGGCCTGGTGACTTATTTGTCAGAGTTGTACAGCTAGTTCATAATGGGCAGATTGGGGTTCAGGCTTAGTTTTAAAGAAGTCACTCCATGATCAGGGTGAAGCTGACCATCAGCCTCATGAGCTTCCAGTCTGATGGGGCAGACTTGGCCCTGCCTTTGGAGGGCCTGGGTGACTCAAGGAGTTGCAAGAAGAGAGCTGAGTTGTTGGGGGCCTGAGCCCCAAGCAGGGTGGCTGGGTGACCTGGAGAATGTTCGTGCACACACCCAGGCGCCCACGTGCCCTCACCAGGACATGTGCAGAGA